TCTCCCTCTGGTCTGTTGACCTTCAGGCACCTCATCTCAACCAATTGGTGATATCCAGTCTACCCTGTGGAGAGATCTTGGCCAACTTTCCTCTCAGAGCCCGTGTTTCTTCAAACCACCTCAAGCCAGCTCTTGTATTACCTCTTTGGACTTTGCGGATCTAGTCTGCCCTGATCTGAGTCCCAATGAAGCGTCTGAAAATTTTCTCAGCCTGTGGTTCCTGCAATGGTTCGCCCTGAAACCTTCTGCCATTCCTGTCCAGCCAGATTACCCAGAGCGTTGCCAGTCTGGCCACCTGAGCAATGTATTCCCATCCTTTGTAACCTGAGACATCTGGCGGCAAGACCTTTTGGAGGACCCACCTCTTTCCTGTCAGATTCCTCTTGCCTGAGAAGGCTATCCAGTGCTTCTCCCACCATTTCCACCACTTGTTTGAGACCGGGCAGTCCCACCATAGGTGTTGCATGGATTCTACCGGCTCCGGACATCTATCGCATTTAGTGGTCACGTCCATTCGGCGGTCCTGTAGCCATTTGGCTGTAGGAACAGTCAGGTGGGACTGTAGCCAGGCCAGCGAGGCAAGCTTCTGGGATGGCATCTCTTTCAGCTGTACCAGAGCGATGTCAGTTCCTTCTTGGATGGTGGTTCCACTTCTTGGCATTGCCTCTGCCATCTTCCTGAGATGAGTTCGCGTGCATGTGGAAGCTTTGTCTGTTGGTCGAGTACCAGCTGAGATGAGAGTTTGTCCAGTCCCCAAATTGGGCCGTTGCCCCCTTGCCATCCCCACGCCTGTGGATCTATCTTCATCTGTCGGAGGGGGATTGCATTTGCCACCACCTCCAGTACCTCCGGCTCTCCTGGGCGCCTCGGGGGGAAACTGCGAACATGGATTTCGTCCAGGCTGTTCAGTCCGTATCTCCAACTGATTCCGGAGATTGCTATCTCTGGGAGGTTCGGCAGTATCGACTCCAAGGTCTCCAACCAGCACTTCCGTGTTCCATCTTCAAACCATTCTTGCAGTCTGAGGAACTGGGTCTTCTCCCCTTGGGTGTCAACGGACCACGATCCCACAGGATTGACTTGCTGTGGGCCGATCAGAATTTTCCAAGCTTGGGGGATCCCTTCAACCAATCCTTCAAGTCTTGCTTCTTGATGGGGGAGTTGTCCCAACTTTCACTTTCAGCTGGTCGACCGTTATCCAGGAGTTTTTCCAGTCATCGCACAGATCAGCGATGGTTGATACACCCCTTTGAATCCATCTCATTCCGAAGTGACCAGGCCTAGCATCCGCCACAATCGGAATTCCCTCCCTGTCTTTAATGAAGGGATTGGCAAAAAGATGCTGCTTTTTGACTTCCTCCTTAGTTACCGGAGGTCTTACCAGGGTAGGCTTCGCCTTCTTCCACGCTGAAATGATGTCTCTCCAGAAGGTAGATTGAATTCATTTGCTCACGAAGTTGTTGTGAAAGATCGCTACCCATACGTCTGAGTATCTACCCAGCTCCCACTCTTCTGCCAGGACTAGTTCAGCCAGACCAATCCAATCCTTGGGGTTGCCTCTTTCTGCTACTTTGTCCACCCATTTGCACAACGCGGTTAGGTTCTGAACCTCAGGGTCCATTAGTCCTAAACCGCCTTCTTCACGTGGTCTGCACACCACTTCCCACGCTAGCTTAGAAACAAACCCCTGGTTAGTCTGACTATCCGGCTTCCACAGGAACCGGCGTGCTGCGCCTTTCACAAATTTTAGCAAGGTCACAGGGAATTTGCAAACTGTTCCCACGTAACTCATCATAGCAAATGCTGCCGCTCTCAATGTTAGTGCTCTTCCCAACAACGAAATATGTCTGGGCTTCCCCCAGCTTCTGATCCTGGTAGTCACTCTTTGTAAGATGATTTTCTTTTGCACTTCTGAGCATTCTCCCAGTGCAATCTGGACTCCCAAGAACCTTTCAGCTTTGCCTGCAGAAACCCTTTCCATACCCCATTCCATAGTACTCTGGTGCTGTGCCGGTAAGAACAGCACCGATTTCGACCAGTTGACTGTAGCTTCAGACAGCTCTGTGTAGATGTCTAGGCACGACTTCAGAGCCTCAAATGGGGACTTCGTGTTCTTTGATATGGCAAAAAGATTGTCAGCCAGCGCTTGGACCTTGCTCTCTCTCCCATCAGGGAGCTTCATGCCTTTGTACTCTGGGTGAATTCTTAGGTTGCACAGCAAGATTTCTAGTTGCACTACAAATAGGAGGGGGGCAAGGGGACAGCCCTGCCACAACGATCTTGACAGCTTGAACTCATGAGAGAGGAAACCGTTTACGCACACGGCCGCTGTGGAGTCTCCATAAAGCGCCACCACCCATTGACAGAAACTAGGGCCGAAGCCCATTGTTTTCAGGGTGGTCATCACGAAAGACCAATTTACTCTATCATATGCCTTCTCTAGGTCTAGCATTAGTACAACGATGTTGCGCATCAGTTCAAGCGCTTCGATGGCTGTCACTACATTTTCAAAAATGGATCTGCCTTTAACAAATGCTCCCTGCTCCTCTCCGATCAGGCTGGGCAGGTACCTGCTTAATCTTTGCTAACAGTTTATAGCTTACATTAAGCAGTGATATCGGTCTGTAATTACGCACTTCGTCTCGGTCACCTTTTTTGTACAGCAAGGTAATTACTCCTCTAGACATCATGTGGCCCAACTTTCCTCCTTTAATGCTGTTGAATATATCCACCAGATCGTCTACCAGAATCTCCCAGCGAGCTTCAAAAAACTCGATGGGAAGGCCATCATCGCCTGGGGCTTTCCCCCTGGCCAGCTGTTTCATTGTGTGAGTAAGTTCTTCCGATGAAATGGGTTTCTCCAAGTCGAGGAGACCTGTTTGTGGAACTCAACAGGGAACTTGATCCCAGAATGGAGACTCCAGGGATATGTTCGAAACCTTTCTGTGAAACTCTTGAAGTGATGATGTTGCTGTAATAGGCGGCTGCGTACTCACAAATATCTTCGATGGCTCTTGCCAGTGGGGCTCTAATCTGTAGCGGGTGCTTTAGCTTTGCAACTTGCGGTCTCTTACTTGCAGGTAGTAGGGGTTTGAAAGTCTCCTTGGTCATTCTATCACCTGCAGCAATGCCTTTCGCCTGTAGGATGTGCTCCTACCGCTTTTGCTTCTCCACTTGAATCTCCTCCCAAACTTTTAGTCTTTCCTGTCTTTCTTCCGCCCATACCTGGTCTGAGATTGGATGTTCTCCCAACCTACTCTCTGCCTCCTCCACCCTCTTGCATTCTGCCTCTTTGAAGTTTCTGAGATAGGCCGCTATCCTTTGAGTAAGCATCCAATCTCGGAGAAACAATGTGGAGGCCGGCATCCAGCCCAATCAGCTTTGGACTCGAACTGAGCTTTTATGTGTTGCCAGTCTTTCCAGAAGGTGGCTGTCCACTCCCTGATCCCTTCGTCCTCCAGATTGGTTACGTTTAACCGGAAGCAACCTGGACCTCTTGCCAGGCAGTTCGAGGTGCAAATACTGAAGGCCACCAACTTATGGTCGGAGAGTGAGGCCGTGATGACCGGTGATGACGTTACTTTCTTCGCCGGCAGATCCGACAGAAGGAAGAAATCCAATCTTCTTTGGACCCCTGGGGCCTGCGTTACCAAACCAGGTGTAACATGGATTTAACGGATTCATTGTTCTGAAGATGTCCTCCATTGACCAGGCTTCCTTCCACCTCAGTAAAACGACTTGATCGGAGTGAAACCCCGTATCTGCCTCCGCATCAATTCTTGGATCTAAGACCACGTTCCTGTCGCCTCCAACCACTAGTCTATCTGACTTCGGAATGATATATGGCAGGGATTCAAAGAATTCCCTTATCTCCTTTTGGTCGTTCGGTGCGTAGACTATGGCAAAAACAGACTCTAGCCCTTCTGTCGTCACCTTCACCCAACACCACTTCCCCCATAAGTCCGAGTCACAATCAACCAAGCTAGCCTTAATCCTTTTGTGGAAAAGGATTGCTACGCCCCCTTTGGATCCCCTGGCTGGGGACCAAAGTTGGGGGCCGTCCCACCACTCCCTCATTCTTTCCAATTTCTCCTTCGAGAGCTTTGTCTCTTGAATCAGAGCAATATCAATGTCCTTCTCGTGAAACCATGATTTCAACCGCTTTCCTTTCTCCTTGCCTCCTGTGTCACCTAGGCCTTGCATGTTCCACGTCCCTACTTTGAGTTTATTCATCAACATTCGGTAAGCCGCGTGTCGATTGGTTGCGGATAGAAGAATTGTTCCCTTGGTTGACCACATCTGGTATTTCTGGCCATGGGTCGCTCAGATTCCTTGCAAATAATTCAGAAGAGAAATCCTGCCATCGTGGCATCTTGTTCCTCAATTCTTCCAAAACCTTCGCTGAGACCCTTGGATCGACCACTATCTGAGCAAGCATAAGCATTGAGGGATCCACGAAAGTGTTAATCGGAACGCTTGTCAGCCCTATTCTGCTGATGTTCGCCCATTGATCATCTTGGAATCTTGCGTCGATCAGCGGAAGGGAGTAGCGGATACGTTTACCTCCGGGGAGGTCTACGTCCAGTTTCGGCATCAATCCATCTGGGCAGATGCGGAAATTGAATCTGTCAGCAAAGAGTTCTCTTACTTTGCGCTTGATAATTTCTATCGTGGCCAGCCCGTCAATCTGTTGCGCAGGCAGGACCATTTTGCCCTCTTTGCTGACCAATCCGATTACGTGAATTACTTGTGCTTGCATTGTGGAGACCAGTGGCAGAATCCCTCTCTCTTCGTAGCCCGCTGTTCCTGCTTGGTGTGAGTTGACTCCCTCCGTTGCGTGTCCTGGTGATGCACCTAGCGAATTGCTGCCACTAGGGTCCCGCGAGCCACTCAGATCCCCTTGAAGTCTTGTTGCTTGATCTTGGTGGATTTCCTTGACACCATCTGTTCCCACGCCTGTTTTCCCCCCTTGGCCGACCATCTGAGCGTTTGGCATTCCGTATTGTCCTTGATAGGGAACGAAAGCTCACCGTCCTCCTATTGCCGTGCCCCCTTGCATTGCACTTGGATTGCTGCCGTAGGGCCCCAATGCTGGGTTGGGAAGTTGATATCCACTGTAAGGATACGGCGCCATCGGGAATGACGACATTGGTACGGTAGCTGCATTTGCCAACGGCAGTAAACTACTTAGCCTTGGGTCTTGATTCAAGAGCTGGAGCAAAGCTTGGAATTGATACGCCTCCGTTTGGTGTGGTCCAGGCGTTTGAAGCGGCAGCTGAGGGTGTTGCACCCGTCCTCCATATTGATGTGCATGGGCTGAAGGTAGTGCGGCTGTGGCGCTGTTCCACGCTTGGTTGTTCAGCCTTTCTACTCGTTGTTGCTGAGCGCCTCCCGTTCTTGGGTTGCCTTGTGCTGAGGATCCTGCATCAGATTGAGAATTTCTCCTCTGTTGGAGATCTCTGGGCGCCTCTTGAATATTCCTATTTTGCTCATTCACCGGATCCCCTCCTCTTCTTCTTCCCTCGTTGTCTATTCTTGGATTTCCACCCGTTTGCTGTTCTGACGGAGTTTCTCCCATTCTCGGGCAGCCTTCAGTTGCCGTGTGGAAGTACCATCTGCAAGTCTCACACCATGGTGTGTTCTTGCAGGCGAATTTGATGTAGTAGATCTCCCCGTTGTCCAGTTTGATAGGAAGCTCTTCTTCGAACCGTTCTTCGGCTTCTCGTACGAGCTCAAATTTCACGTTCATCAGCTTCGGTCTTGTCTTGTCTGACTTTGGCGGAATGGAGTTGATTATGCGTCCCATCGAAGTCTCCACCATGCTCTCCACATGAAACATGACTCGCTGCGGAACTCTCAAGGCTGTTACCCAGAACTTGGATTCATCCTCCAATCTTCTCCGTTCTTCCAATTCGGCTTTCGTTATCCATGCTTCAAAGGCCATGCCATATTCGATCCTGCGGATCTCCACCTTGTCTCCACCTTTGGCAATCATCCACCGCGCTACGTCTCTTGACTTGGCCGCATATGACAGGACATTTGGTCCTTCGCCGTGGATTCTTCCTCGTTTGACTGATCGGTCAAACATTCTTTCCTTGTACCAGCCGTTTTCATAAGCACGCACCAAGTCTTCTCTGATTCGCAGAGGAAGATCCCGAGCTTCACCTTGAAATGTCACCGTGACAGTTCTTTCTTTTAGCCACGCAGTGACCATGGCATCTAAACCTAGGTGGACTCTAAATAATCTTACGCCAGCTTCTACCACCGATTCTCCATGACAAAACTTCTCTGGAATGATACTGTCTTCATAGCACTTGGCTATATTCTGGTTTGAGGGGCTGCCGCTCTCCCATCCTCCTGAATCGCCCCCGTTCCTGGTTCAGCCATCATGCCCTACCTTCTCTTACAGTTTCCAAAAACTCCTTCGTGTCAATGGCGGGCGCTCTATGGCGCTCGCCCACCAAAGTACACCACGTCTTCAATCCCTTACACAACATACACGACACTCATGACCAATACACTCACATGTGTCGAAGTGGCACACTACTAGGCTCGGCGATGGGAGGACGGAGACTCTTGGTAATTCGAGGTGACGTCAACCCTTGTTGCGCGCACGTCTTGGCGGCGAGTCGCGCGACCACTGAGACCGGCTGAACACCCAGCCCAAAATTAGCGCTGCTTCGTCCGGTAACGCAAGTTCGGAGCGCTGCAGCGCCGGCCCCTCAGGTCGGGTAAAGAATTTCGATGTGACACTCATTTAACACGTTTTCTTGTTTCCTTGATTGCTTTTTTGTTTTTTTGTTTTTTTGTTTTTTTGTTTTTTCTTTTTTGGTACACTTTTTCTCACACACGTGCGAAGGTGATATGGCTGGAGGGAGACAGCAAAGCTATGTTCGCAGGGGTCCCCTGTATAAGTAAGCCTTAGG